ATTTGATCTACATGTGTATGAAATAGAAAAAATACAATGTAACAATAATTTTGTCACACTATTTATAAAATCAAGCTTCTTAACATTGTTCCAAACACTGTTAAGAAAACTCAGTTTTACACCGCAGCAGATAAGTTATAGTTTATAATGTGTTTTTTACATTTCATAAATAAAAGTGCTTATTTTGCAGATAATGCACAAAGCATTTCTATGCGGTTTGCTTCATAGAACAAGGAAAGTGTCAAAAGGACCTTAAAGTGTCACTAAACCCAGGACCCTGCATTCACTATATCTGGTCTCCCACAGTACACACAACATGGAAATGCAATTATTTTAGCAAATATAAACTGCTAAATACATATACTTATCAGCAGTATATAGCAGTCTTGTGACTTCTATCAGAGTCCAGCTGAGCACATGTTAAAGCTTATAGGAGGAGTTTTCTTTCTGCTCTAGAAGGATGCATGACCTCTAACCTCTGTCTGGACAGCACTAATTGGCCCTGTGCTGATCACATGCACTCTCCCAAGGTAAAAAAAAAAACATTCTAGCAATACACACCAAACTGAACATGTGCAGAATGACTCCACATGATATGTCCTATCAGGAGATTAGAAGGGGGCACTGGAAGAAGGGTAGGATCAGAGAAGACAGGATCAAAGGACAGCATTTTACTCAATACAGAGGATTAACCTCCTAGGTTCCACAGTGAGTATAAAAAGCATGCTTTACTGCATATACAGACTGATTTTACTGTTGTGGGTTTAGTAACACTTTAATCCATGAAAAAAACAGTTTTCCTCTGATATCTGTTTAAAAAGACTCTGACCCAGTGCAGTGTCCCCAGTATGAGTCACACAAAATATATGTGGTCCAGTACAGTGTCCCCTAATTGTATCACATAGAATGCACTAGACTTAGCGCAGTGTCCCTGGTATGTTTCACATAGAATATATAAAGCCCAGTGGTGTCACATAGGATGTCTGAGGCCCAGTGGCATTACACAGAGTGTATAAGGCTCAGTGCAGTGTCTCCAGTATATGTTACATGGAATGAATGTTGCCCAGTGCAGTGTTTACGATATATGTCACATGGAATGTATGAGGCCCAGTGCAGTGTCTGCAGTATATGTGTATTGGACCCAGTGGTGTCACATAGGATGACTGAACCCCAGTGGTGTCACACAGAATGTATGAGGCCCGGTGCATTGTCTTTGGTATATGTCACATAGGATGTATGAGGCCCAGTGCAGTGTCCCCGGTATGTGTCACACGCAGTGTATGAGGCCCAGTGCAGTGTCCCTGGTATATATTACACAGGGTGTATAAGGTCCAAGCAGTGTTCACGGTATATATCACATGAAATGTATGAGGCCCAGCACAGTGTCCCCCAGATGTCACATGGAATGTATGAGGCCCAGAGGTGTCACATAAAATGTATAAGGTTCAGTGATGTCACATGGAATGTACGAGCCCCAGTGATGTCATATGGAATGTATGAGGCCTAGCGATGTCAAATAGAATGTACGAGGCTCAGTGATGTCACATGGAATGTACGAGGCTCAGTGATGTCACATGGAATGTATGAGGCCCAGTGATGTCACATGGAATATATGAGGCCCAGTGATGTCACATGGAATGTATGAGACTCAGTGATGTCACATGGAATGTACGAGGCCCAGTGATGCCATATGGAATGTACGAGGCCTAGCGATGTCAAAAAGAATGTACGAGGTTCAATGATGTCACATGGAATGTACGAGGCCCAGTGATGTCCATGGAATGTACGAGGCCCAGTGATGTCACATGGAATGTACGAGGCCCAGTGATGTCACATGGAATGTACGAGGCCCAGTGATGTCACATGGAATGTACGAGGCCCAGTGATGTCACATGGAATGTACGAGGCCCAGTGATCTCACGTAGAATACAGTGAGGAACCGAAGTATTTGAACACCCTGCAATTTTGCAAGTTCTCCCACTTAGTAATCATGGAGGGGTCTGAAATTCACATTGTAGGTGCATTCCCACTCTGAGAAACAGAATAAAAAAAACAATTCAGGAAATGACATTGTATGATTTTTAAAGAATTTATTTGTCTTGCACTGCTGAACAGAAGTATTTGAACACCTGAGAAAATCAGTGTTAATATTTGGTACTGTCAGGAATGGACTTGCCAGTAATGGTGGGACTCACCTGCCTTGTGGGCTGCAGTACCAGGGCTGGCCACCGGGTGCTCTCAGCAATCAGAGACTCAACCCTGCAAGTCAGCCAAACACCTGAGGCTGATTGCAGATGTATTTAAGGGATGGCCAGACCTGCAGTCTGTGCCTTGGTGTGTGTTTTTCTATGGGCCCCTATATCTTGTTACCTGCATTCCTTCTCCTGTTCCTGTCTGACTGATTCGTTGCCGACCCTGCCTGATCCAGACCTCTGCTGACTTCTCCTGTTTGATCCCTGGCTTGTGACCCCAACCATTCTCTGCCTGACCCCCTGTACCTACCTGCCCGTTAGTTGCTGTACCCGGCTCGTGACCTGACTACTCTCTGCCTGCTCCTCCTGTTCCTACTTGCCCGATTGTTATTGACCCGGCCTGCCTGACGACGCTTGCATTGTATGTACTGTTATCTGTGGGTGGTTTGGTTCGTTTGCACTGTGTTATGTTTTAGTATTGCACTGTGTTTGTATTGTTAGTATTAATATATTATATTGTTTATCACATATCTGAAGCCTGCGTTTCCCTGCGTCAGATCACATACCTCTGGTCATACCCGGAGCCCTGACAGGTACAGAAGCCTTTGCAATTACAGAGGTCAAACGTTTCCTGTAGTTCTTGACCAGGTTTGCACACACTGCAACAGGGATTTTGGCCCACTCCTCCACACAGATCTCCGCTAGATCTGTCAGGTTTCGGGGCTGTCGCTGAGCAACACGGAGTTTCAGCTCCCTCCAAAGATGTTCTATTGGATTTAGGTCTGGAGACTGGCTAGGCCACTCCAGAACCTTGATATGCTTCTTACGGAGCCACTCCTTGGTTATCCTGGCTGTGTGCTTCGGGTCATTGTCATGTTGGAAGACCCAGCCACGACCCATCTTCAATGCTCTGACTGAGGGAAGGAGGTTGTTGCTCAAAATCTCACAATAAATGGCCCCATTCATCCTCTCCTTAATACAGTGCAGTCGTCCTGTCCCCTTCACAGAAAAGCACCCCCAAAGCATGATGTTACCACCCCCATGCTTCACAGTAGGGATGGTGTTCTTGGGATGAAACTCATCCTTCTTTTTCCTCCAAACACGACGAGTGAAGTTTAGACCAAAAGGTTCTACTTTGGTCTCATCTGACCACATGACTTTCTCCCATGCCTCCTCTGGATCATCCAGATGGTCATTTGCAAACTTCAGACGGGCCTGGACATGTGATAACTTGAGCAGGGGAACCTTCCGTGCAATGCATGATTTGAAACCATGAGAGCGTACTGTTCTACCGACAGTGACCTTTGAAACTGTGGTCCCAGCTCTCTTCATGTCATTGACCAGCTCCTCCCTTGTAGTTCTGGGCTGATTCCTCACCTTTCTTATCATCAGTGATACCCCACGAGGTGAGATCTTGCATGGAGCCCCAGTCTGAGGGAGACTGACAGTCGTCTTTAGCCTCTTCCATTTTCTAACAATTGCTCCAACAGTTGATCTATTTTCACCAAGCTGCTTGGCAATTGCCCCATAGACCTTTCCAGCCCTGTGGAGGACCACAATTTTGTCTCTGGTATCTTTTGACAGCTCTTTGCTCTTGCCCATGGTAGTAGTTGGCGTCTGACTGACTGTGGGGTGAACAGGTGTCTTTAAAGAGCTCAGACAGGTGCTACTAAGTTAGATTAATGAGTGGAGTAGAGGTGGACTTTTTAAAGGCACAGTAACAGGTCTTTGAGAGCCAGAATTCTTGCTGTTTCTTAGGTGTTCAAATACTTATGTTCAGCAGTGCAAGACAAATAAATTCTTTAAAAATGATACAATGTGATTTCCTGAATTTGTTTTGTAAATTCTGTCTCTCAGAGTGGGAATGCACCTACAATGTGAATTTCAGACCCCTCCATGATTTCTAAGTGGGAGAACTTGCAAAATCGCAGGGTGTTCAAATACTTCTGTTCCTCCGTGATGTCACAGGGAATGTATGGGGCTCAGCGACATCACGTGAAATGTATGCGCCTCAGCGACGTCACGTGGAATATATGAGGCTCAGCGGCGTCGCGTGGAATGTATGCGGCTCAGCGACGTCGCGTGGAATGTATGCGCCTCAGCGACGTCGCGTGGAATGTATGAGGCTTAGCGACGTGGCATGTATGTGGTGCAGCGATGTCATGTGGAATGTATGTGGCTCAGCGGTGTTGCGTGGAATGTATGAGGCGGTGTACCTGATATTTTTTACACACCGCTTGCTTCACAATGTGAAGATGACAAAACTGCACCCCCCCAAGGAGGAGAATAGGTAGGTAGGGGGGAGATACATGAGACAGTGTTGGGTGACCTGGGAACAATATTGCCATTGGCTTCCCTCAGAGGAATGATTTGAGGTACAGTTTGCAGAAGATAGTCCGGCCTGTGAACACTGCGATGAATGAAGACCAGCACACCTCCATCACAGAGCTTTACTAGCCCTACCAGTACACGGAGAGCTACCAGTGCACACAGGACGGGAACACACTCAATACAGCCAGGGAGTGTCGGCTGTGCCGGGAAGTGGGCGGGCACACAATGGAACGCCCCCACCCGCCTAGGCTATGCTATGACCACTGTACACCGCTGACAGCGCCGTACTACCACGTGTGGGAGGGACTATTTGCCGAAGCCTCATTACGTGTGTCGTCAGACGTAGTTCCGGTTGTGGGCGGGACTGTGGAATTGCCTACGCTGGCACCTCGGCGGGTCACTATTTACAACTCACACACACCCTGCAAGCCAGGTGATCGTTCCATAGGGACCTGATCCATCCGCCGCACCGCAGACATGGTGGCCAAACAGAGAATCCGAATGGCAAACGAGAAACACAGCAAGAACATCACACAGAGGGGCAACGTGGCCAAGACCGCGGTATGTGCTGGATAGAGAGGGAGGAGGGGAGAGGGGGAGCCGGCTGGCCGGGGCTGATCATTGTCTCTCCTGTCTATAGAGGAACGCCACGGACGAGAAGTCATCGGTAGGTCCCTGGTTACTGGCCCTCTTCATCTTCGTGGTCTGCGGATCCGGTGGGTGCATTCTCTATTTACATTACTATTGGCCAATCACTGAAGGAGCTACAAGTACCAGCAATCCCTGCCAGGGTCAGATAGTTGTGTGTGCCAGCACACACCTTACAATCTGATTGAACAATCTCCTTCAGATCTAATTCAGCTGTATAGTGAATTGTCTGGGTAGACCAGGTTGGTGCTCTTGTTACATAGCTTTGGTAAATCTAAAGTCCATTGTACCATGTATGGTGACCTCCAAGGTGCTCTCATTGACTCCCAGGTCCATGACCCTCCCATACAAATGACTAGTCCTTCAGCGGTCACACGTTATCAGGGATCAGTACCTATACATATGTGTAGGGTAAGCCGTGTCCAGATTGGTGGTTCCAGATTGTAGATCGGTGGTAGCAGATAAGTTGGCCGATGTGATTTTCCAGATGATCACAGACTGGACACCTAATCTCCCCCGTTACTAGTTCTCCTTCAGTGTTTCCTGTGAGCTCGGCCCCTGCTGGTCTTCTGCACACATCTGTGTGTGTATGTATGTATATGTGTGTATATATATGTGTGTGTATATATATATATATATATATATATTCGTACTGCACACAGGGCCTCCTCACCACTTCCCTTCCTCTCTTCTCTCCTGAGGTCTTCAGTGTTGTCATTGTCCATCACTAGGAGCTGTTGTGTTCTGACACCTCCGGGATAGCACTCTAATTTCTGATGCTATCAGCTCGGTCTTCTGCTTTTTGGCACTAAAATCACATTGTATTGCAGGTAACTGGAGGTGTAGTAAGTGTTCATCTCCTAAAACCAACATTACGCCATCCTGGGTCACTCTTGGTGTTGCCATATGTTGAGTCCCATGTCCACGTCTGCATTTTATAAACACACTGCTAATAGGCATGTTGTAAAACCCCACTTCAGGATGTATTCCTTGTACCCCCCCCCCTTTTTTTTCCCCAAATCCAATTGTAGGACTAGGAAAAAAATTCCGAGGCTAGGCTCACACTTGTGCCGTATCCAGTGCATTTACCAGTTAGCAGAAACATTTGTTTTGATTTCTTATGGTTCACAACTCTGAGTTTTTAGCCAGTGCGTTTTTTTTTTTTTTTTTGGAAAGGGTCAGGGACTTTTTTTTACCTGTAGAAGTTTGCATTTTTGTTTCAATGGAATCCCATCAAACGCAGTTATTGCTTTGTTTATAATGCGTTTCTGCTGTGTTTTTCATCTGCATGACAACAAACACCTCCCCCTAACAAAAACTTCCCAAAAACTGCAAAATGTATAAAAAATGCACCACAAATAATTTTGGAAAAACACGTCAGTTGCAACACACATAGGTATGTATCTAGAGCAAATACCCTTTTTAACATGTCTTAGAGCAGTTGTAAAGTCCTGAAAAAAATCTGGTCCCCCCGCAAGTTAATGTCAGTGTGCAGTGCATACTACCGCATTCTGAAAGACTTGCCTGGAAAACGAAGACCTGTTACCGCTAACAGGGCTTTCATCCATTCTTTCGTCTAGGTTTGCAGGCTTCAACTGATTGGCTGAGCTGCGATGTCCTTACTCCCACGCATGTGTATGGGAATTGAAGCTGTGGCACAGAGGTCCATATTGGTGGCATGTTCATTGTACCCTCAATTCAGAGCACATGCACCAGGGACATCACTGGCTGCAAAACGTGAATATCTCCTGAAAGGTGCCTGTTTAGGAGATATTAATTTTACTTACAGGAAATCTTTATTATTTGCTTACCTTAGGTAAAAGTGACAAATTGGAGATTAGTGCCACGTTCACGTGTCACTGCAGCCTGGAGTGATCTGTTTACCTTCCTGCTTAGGTCCCTTATCAGGTGTCCACATCAGTGACTCCGTGACCTGGACACTTCCAATTGGATATCCAGCAGTGGGGTCCTCTCGGAATTCAGAAGAGGATGACGTCATCACAGCAGGGTGACAGGAGACTATAGATCTCACTCTGTTCACACCGCTAAAGCCTGGAATGAGGCTTTAAAATGGATATTTGTTGTTTCCCTTATACAAAGGAGTTATGACAGTGTTCATCTAAAGCCAAAACTTTAATTTTTTAATTTTGGATAGAGTTGGGAAGTGTTAAACCCACTGCCAGTTTTTTCTACCATCAGTGTTTCGTGGGAGATTTCTCTTCACTTCCTGTGCTGTAAATTCAAAAGGAAGTGCGAGGATGTCTTTCTAGTATAAGGGAAGCTCTCTGGGAGAGAGTTGTCGCAGGAACAGGTATTCCTGTTCTGGAGGTAGTTTAACATTTAGGCTGTACCCTCACTTTCTGGTGACATTGGTGATCAGGATCATTCAAAATGAATCTTAACTGGGACACAGCCAGGAAAAAAAATCTCTCCCTTCGCTACATTATCTAAATCTACGAAGGTTTGCTTGCTAGTGCTTCAGCTGGAAGTGGACCTTTTATGTATGAGGGGGAGGATGGCGTATGATCAGCTGGAAGCGGACCTTTATGTATGAGGGGGAGGATGGCGTATGATCAGCTGGAAGCGGACCTTTTATGTATGAGGGGGAGGATGGCGTATGATCAGCTGGAAGCGGACCTTTATGTATGAGGGGGAGGATGGCGTATGATCAGCTGGAAGCGGACCTTTTATGTATGAGGGGGAGGATGGCGTATGATCAGCTGGAAGCGGACCTTTATGTATGAGGGGGAGGATGACGTATGATCAGCTGGAAGCGGACCTTTATGTATGAGGGGGAGGATGACGTATGATCAGCTGGAAGCGGACCTTTATGTATGAGGGGGAGGATGACATATGATCAGCTGGAAGAGGACCTTTATGTATGAAGGAGAGGATGACATATGATCAGCTGGAAGAGGACCTTTTATGTATGACGGGGAGGATTACGTATGATCAGCTCGAAGCGGACCTTTTATGTATGAAGGGGAGGATTACGTATGATCAGCTCGAAGCGGACCTTTTATGTATGAGGGGGAGGATGACGTATGATCAGCTGGAAGAGGACCTTTATGTATGAAGGGGAGGATGACGTATGATCAGCTGGAAGAGGACCTTTATGTATGAAGGAGAGGATGACATATCAGCTGGAAGCGGACCTTTTATGTATGAAGGGGAGGATTACGTATGATCAGCTCGAAGCGGACCTTTTATGTATGAGGGGGAGGATGACGTATGATCAGCTGGAAGAGGACCTTTATGTATGAAGGGGAGGATGACGTATGATCAGCTGGAAGAGGACCTTTATGTATGAACGGGAGGATGACGTATGATCAGCTGGAAGAGGACCTTTATGTATGAGGGGGAGGATGACGTATGATCAGCTGGAAGAGGACCTTTATGTATGAGGGGGAGGATGACGTATGATCAGCTGGAAGAGGACCTTTATGTACGAGGGGGAGGATGACGTATGATCAGCTGGAAGAGGACCTTTATGTACGAGGGGGAGGATGAGGTATGATCAGCTGGAAGAGGACCTTTATGTACGAGGGGGAGGATGACGTATGATCAGCTGGAAGAGGACCTTTATGTACGAGGGGGAGGATGACGTATGATCAGCTGGAAGAGGACCTTTATGTACGAGGGGGAGGATGACGTATGATCAGCTGGAAGAGGACCTTTATGTACGAGGGGGAGGATGACGTATGATCAGCTGGAAGAGGACCTTTATGTACGAGGGGGAGGATGACGTATGATCAGCTGGAAGAGGACCTTTATGTACGAGGGGGAGGATGACGTATGATCAGCTGGAAGAGGACCTTTATGTACGAGGGGGAGGATGACGTATGATCAGCTGGAAGAGGACCTTTATGTACGAGGGGGAGGATGACGTATGATCAGCTGGAAGAGGACCTTTATGTACGAGGGGGAGGATGACGTATGATCAGCTGGAAGAGGACCTTTATGTACGAGGGGGAGGATGACGTATGATCAGCTGGAAGAGGACCTTTATGTACGAGGGGGAGGATGACGTATGATCAGCTGGAAGAGGACCTTTATGTACGAGGGGGAGGATGACGTATGATCAGCTGGAAGAGGACCTTTATGTACGAGGGGGAGGATGACGTATGATCAGCTGGAAGAGGACCTTTATGTACGAGGGGGAGGATGACATATGATCAGCTGGAAGCGGACCTTTATGTTTGAGGGGGAGGATGACGTATGATCAGCTGCCCATAGCCTCCTGGGATATCTACATCATACATCCCAGGAGGTTGACATGTTTTGTTTGAAGCCTGTGCCCCATTAAAGACTGGAGTGTCTGCACATGTGCAAAATCAAGGGCACCTCATCAGGGGGCTTCTGTACGAATGAGGAAAAGACAGCTGGCTTCTGATCATGGGTGCTTCAAGATGACAGCGAGGGTCTGGAAAGGAGCAGCAGAGCAGTGGGTGAGAAAAGGAAAATGCAGGATTCTCTGGGCTTGAGTGTAGATTGAGTATGTCTATGGCATAAAGGAACATCAAAGGAAAGTGGCCTATGGAAAGGAAAATGGACTGGATGAAGTTCAAGTCGGATCTACACTCTATCTAAACAACACAAACCAGAAACGCTATTTAATTCCTTTTTAAAAATTTAGAGCAAATTCACCCATCCATCCGCATCTCCATGCTTTATTTTGCTGAAAAATCATTTTAAAACACCCCCTGGCATTTCTGGTTGTGGCCAACTTGAGTAGGGACAGATGACCCATGTAGCATTTACTTCCTGGAATCCATCTGCCCTTAGATTAGGCATGCAGGAAGGTGCGGTTAGCTGAGAACCCTCTCCCGAAGACCCCTGGGATTTACAGCATCATTTGCCTTGGCCAGGAATCCAGGAAGTAACTGAAGAAAATAAGTTTAGAACCAGTAAATATAATATACTTTCCTATTTACTAATGCTTGCAGCATAAAGATTAAAAATAGTCAATGTTGATTGAGAGAGTGAAGTTCAGCTCTAAGTTTTGTTCTCTCATTCTTACTGTACTAACCCATGTATACTTTTGTGGTTCTGACCAGGGTGGATTTGATTTAAATCACTAGTCAGTAAGGCTTGATTTAAATCCTAGTTTTCTACATAAAGACTAATTCTTGCTGGTATAACTTTAATATGCAAGTAGATGAAGATTTTTAGAACAACAACTTT